AAATACTCCATCTTATTCTTCACACCACTTGTTAAAAGATTTAGCCCATGAGCACTTAGTGTGTGTGTGGAAATTCATAGTAAGAAGTTTCGAGTTTAGACCTTCACACCTTAGCACTTATTACTATCTTTTTTTTTTTCTCCCCTCAAATTTTTTTTTCATAGGTCGAGTTTCCTTAGGCTTTCTAGGTTACCCATGTAACGGGCTTTTTGTCAATGACTCCCAAACCAGTTGGCTTTAGGGCATTAGGTGAAGAGACACCCCTAAGAACATACTTACTCAAGTAACAAATGCCACGAAACATTCGACTTCTCTTCTTCTTCTTTTTTTTTTTTTTCCTTCAGCCATACAACACATTCTTCCCTAAGTCATCACTTGTTTTTTGACGCGAATACTAACATTTGTGATGAAAGCACCCGATTACTCAACAAGTCATAAACTCAAAGTGCTTTACATACTCATATTTCAAGTCATCGTTTGACATGAAAATTGACATGGGTTTCATGCCTAACCCCCAGTTACTAAGCAACTAGAACATTGGAATAGAAATTAATAAACTCTTGTGTGTTGGCTTTCTTTTTTTTTCTATTTTTTTTTTATGCTTTTTAGATGCTACTAAGTCTTCTCTCTAAACTTCTCACTACAAACTTGTGCTTAAATAGGGTATAATACTCATAAACTTGAACTTCATCACAATGGTGTTATTTTTCAGATTTGTATCTCCTCTAAGATTAAAAGATTTTAAAAGCTCTAACTCAAGAATATTCAATTCCTTGACACTAATTGGACCAATTCCTAAAAAAAAAATACCCTAATTTTTTTAAAAAAAATGTATGTTATACAAATATGAATGCAAACTAATGGATACCTAAAAGTGTATCTCTCCCCCAAACTTAAATCGAACATTGTCCTCAATGTAAAATAAAAGTAAGAGAAAAGAGAAACTTCCCAAGTTTTTCACTTGAAGACTTAAAATTGAAGTTTTGAAGTTGAGTTGTCTTCATTTAGAGGAGATTTCTAGCATGTGAATTTTCATAATCTTGTCCCCCAAACTTGTTCAATGACCTGGCCAAAATCAAAGAACAACAATTTATGCATTAACCTAGGCCATAAAGAGAAAAAGAAAAAAAAAATTAAAAGAAAATATGAACTATAAAAGAAAGATAAAACATAAGAAAATTTTATGCTTTGGTTGCCTCCCAAGAAGCACTTAATTTATAGTCACTAGCTAGACTTTCTACCACTCCAAGGTGGTTTTGGATCAGGTCGTAGAGCATGTCCTCTCGTTTTCTTAAATCTTGGCTTTCTTGCCCTTAAGTTGAATCCACCATAAGATTTTCTCCAATGACTATTTTGAGGTGGTTTGGGTTTAGGCCAGCAGATGTGCCTTCCCAATTCTTCTAGGAGTGCCCCTTTTGATTCCAAGGAAGATGATGTGTTCAAGCAATTTATGTATTCTTTGATTGAGTCTTTTGCTTGAATAAGGTAAATTTCAAATAAATCCTCATAAGTGTTTTTCTGCAAAATCTCATCAACCATATCAATAACAAAATAATCATTAAAATCAGATTTGGTTAAAGGAGACTCCTCATTGAACACTTCAAATGACACCTGAGCTTTTTCCTCTTACTCCTTAGGGACATCCTCTTGTTTAGTTTTTGCAGGCATAATTTCTACTTCTCCAAGTTGTCCTTCAATCTCCAAGAGTAAAGTGTTTACCTCTTCTTCTTGATTTTTCATTGTTGCACTAGGTAACTCACCTTGTATCTCTTCAGCAACTAAGTTGAGCAAATGACTTGATTAGACCTCCAGATTTTTATTCAAACATGTCTCCTCTTCTGGAGCTTGAAACCCTGATTGTGGCTTCAATATATCTTCATTATTCCATGAGGTGTTTGGATCAAAATGGCATGTATTGGGATAAGAATTATACTGTTGACTATAAAACTCACAAGAAAAATCAACACACTTGTTATATCGTTTAAATAAGCAATCAGAACTAAAATGGTCTAATCCACACCATTCACAAGTGATATTTGATCGTTCTATTCGAGCCTCTTAATTCGATCCTTTCAATGACTGCTTGAATTCGTTCAAGTTTATCATTGTCAAGTTTTGCATCCCAATTGATAGTTATTGGTTCAACTCGTGCTCTTATCTCTGGCGCAAGCCAATGATAACTCACATAAGTACTTATGGCAACTTGATTCATAGTTAGACCTGTAAAAACAAAAACAAAGAAAACAAAAAAAAAAAAAATCAAAGTAAAAAAATAAAAGAAAAGAAAATGTTCAAATTAAATCTAGAATTAACCAACTCTGATATTAATTAAATCAACAATCCCTGGCAACGGCGCCAAAAACTTGATGCACTAAAATCACCCTAGCAAGTGTACTAGTCGCTCCAAGTAATATAATGATGAGAAGAGTATCGAACCCACGAGAATTGTGTCTAACTAAGTATCAAAATAATTAATCCAAATTTATTTGGACAACCAAATGGGAAGAAAGTTTAACTAAAAAATAATAAAAGGAAAATA